TAGGGAAATCCTTACACTGGACTTTTCTTATGAAGTTGAGGAAACACGACCAAACAGGATAAATTATTTTTTACGCATAGGTGCAATTTAAAACCAGTGTCAATAACAATGATCAGAGCGCAATTCTCCTAACTAAGATCACATATTTTATCTAGTATGTCCTAGCAGACAGGTCTAGAATCTGGATGCATAACAGCAGACTTTGCACACTCTGTTTTGATAATCTGCCATATCTTTATGCCTTTCACTTCGATATCGTTGGCCTGCTTTTGTGATTGCTAGCGATCTGAGTAACACCAGTGTGCAGCCATCAATGCTAGCAGTGCCCATGTTGTGAGGAAAATGAGAGCCCTGCTGCAAAGGATTAATTCACTTCAATAAGCATGGGTTTTCTAAGTGCTGAGAGGCTTCAGCTCTTCCCAGCATTATAGATGTCATCTGTAAACAATTTATGTAGGAAAATGTCATCTACTGCTCATGAAACAGCATAAACCCTATTAAGTGCTGAGGGCAGCAAAAGAAATATACAGGATTAATAAATACTACTAATTATAATTAAAGTATATAAAATAATCCTCAGAGGAGTATGAGACTTTCTAAAACTCAAAGTTTTTTATTATTTAAAAGTAAGATTGCAGAATTTCTTGTCTGGAGATGTCTTATTCATAAATCAACAGAACATTTACTGTAGCGTAACAGAAACAAAACTTTTAAGAAGGGTTTAATCTGGGCATTTTGTCCTGCAACTCAAGGAAAAGGTATAAAGGTTTTAAGAATTCCTAATATGGAAAAAAATTAATACCTATCCTGTCAAGCCTATCAATTGCCACCGTTTCAAAGGCCCTTCTCATCATGGGGTACTCTTCCAGAACCTCGTTGAAGTTGTCGACTGAGAGGGAATACAGGCGACAGTATGTGTCTGCTCGTACACTGGCAGTTCGACGGCCCTTCGTCAAAAGGCAAATCTCTGGGGAGAGAAAAATTCGACACACACATAAAACAAAGAAGTTAGTGAACCATGTCAAACTTAAAAGCTAGGAAGTGACTCAGTGCTAACAAGTAATAATTCAGTACTCAGCTGCAATTTTTCTATTGCTATTTACACAAGGTTGCAGGGACAATTCTCAAGGTGTTTGGTTCTATTTTTGCTACTTTGAAAAAATAACTAATGGTCCTTAAGAGCCCTGCTTACAGGTTTTGTCGGTCTGGTCTCTGATTTTATCAAGTCTTTTTAAAAAAATCTTCACATTGTAAGAAATGATCCATCAGCTGTCAAACACAGCTTGCTGATTCAATTAATCCAAGTGATTCTATTGATTTTGTTTAAATATCTAGCTAACATAGAGCACCAATTCTTTTAATCATTCACCAGATTTACTAAACTAATGATATAATGATATTTGAATATAAGAGATGTTCTAAGAAAAAATGCTTCAAGTATGAAAATGCCTTGTGTTTCCTTGGCTTTTATGTCCTGTGTATTTTGGGAGAGCAAACTTATTATTTTAGACTTTTTTTCTCATTGGGCTAAAAACCAGAACCTTTTTAACCTCTGCTTACTCCATTTGATTAGTCTTGTAGCCTTTCTCTGCAAGTGCCTCCAACAGGAATTCATCATTCTGGAACAGAGGAGACCAAAGCCATAAGCAGAGTCACAAGAAACAAACCCAAACTTACGACTGCTGATTCCCGAACCCACAGGAAGAGAGTTTCTGGATAAAGGCCAAAGTCAATGTTGGAGGCTTGTAACAGCACAACATTTGGGGTAGAATACTTATTTATATTAAAAAAAAAATAAAAAATTGAAAAGTCAATTACAAAAGGAAGTGTTTGATTTGATCCTATTTTCAAGCTGGGGAATAAGAACACATTTAGAAATATCAACAGTTCTTGGGCTCTCAGGCAGGGTGAGAGATAGTTTCCCTACCCAGTTCTAGCAGTCAAGAGCAGTGAGTTCATCTTTGTTCATATTTAATTACTAGCTAGGAAACCGTCTCCTACCCTGCCTGTGTGTCTATCACAAATGATCATTCTCAATCTCACTCAACTATCATTCTCAAGTGTGGAAAACCAAATATTCTTCATTAACAAAAATAAAGAATTCTGCAGGCTTTACTTCAGATCTGTAAAGTGCTAGCATTGTATGTCTTTAACAAAATATATTTTTTATTAATCTAGAATGTAAAGAACCTTGATGGTTTTTTGTCTCATGCTTCTTGTTGAAGAATTTCCACATGCCACCTAACCCTGAAGGCTTAGAGGCTAACATGCTTAAATAATAGTGAATAAATCAAAGTAAATTAAAGTGGGACCAGTAGTAGCACAGAATGTACCCAACAGCATTGGGGAGAATTTATAGAGAATAATGGGTATTGTAAGACTCTTGACCTAATGTCCCTCACAAAATTTGATGCTCATGAAATAATGACAGTTTACTCTAAAGAGCCAGTCAGGTCAAACAGAAGTCAGTCCTTTCCCCCTCCATCCTGCAGCTCAGCCTGACCCCTTCGCCTTTGATTGAACCTACTGCATTTTAGTTACAAGAGTGAGAAGGACATTTTGCCCAAAGGGATCAGTTAAATGGAGTGAATGCCTGCTTCATTTCCTAAGATATCTCACACAGAATAAAGTTTTGCAATACATGGTTGAATTTAGAGATAACGTAACCAGCTGGAAAATCTGTGTGACTAATGATCACCTCTTGATTTACAGTTTTCTTCACTTAAAATTGCTGCAAATAATACTAGAGACATAAGGAGCTGTCTTTTGCTACACTCAACAAATAAAAGTACTTGATTTTACAAAAATCACATGCAAAAACAAAATAAATGTTATCTATGAATCCCAACCATTCTGAAGAGTGTAAAAAAAAATGGAGAAAGTACTATTTTCATCATTATTAATCTAGAACACAATATTTTAGACTACTTCTTCAACAAGAAGGATGGGAAGAAACAATAAGAGACAATGTTAGATTTCATCACAGGACAAAGGAACCATGTAATTCATGGATATTGCGGCAATAAATATAATTATTTTTTCCCCTTCTTTTGTCTTCTATTGTTCTTGTCAAATAAGGGGAATGGAAAGAATCACTAAAAACTAAACATTGTATTCTGAAAACCCTGTCAGCCCACAACTTCTGATAGAAGAACATCTTTTTGGAAGGCTCTTAATAACCATAATAGAGTCTTCTAATTAGATAAGATAATAAAGGATGGGTCAGAAAAGATATGAGAAACGTCCTAGTGCCTAGGAACCGATCAGGAAGTGCCACTGTGGAGCCTGCCTAATTAGGAAGCAGGGAAAGCTTTGTGTTCTCAGCTCCAGTTCAATGGTCTCATTCAAAAGATGAACTACAGCCTTCTGACAGAAAAAAGTACCATGTGATGAATACATATGTCCTGGTTTTGGCTGGGGTAGAGTTAATTTTCTCACTAGCAGCGGGTGTGGTGCTGTGGTTTTGATTTAGGATGAGAATAATAACGATAACGTGCTAATATTTTAGTTGTTGCCAAGCAGTCAAGGACTTCTCAGCTTCTCATACTGCCCTGCCAACAATAAGGCAGGAGGCATCCAAGAAGCTGGGAGGAGACACAGCTAGGATAGCTGACTCAAACTGGTCAGAGGGATATTCCATACTATACGATGCCATACTCATTATATAACTAGAGGAGTTGGCTAGGAGGCAGCACGAGTCAGGAACTAGCTGGGCATTGCTTCCAGGTGGTGAGCAATTGTGCTGTGCATGACTTGTTTTGTATATTCTATTAATATTGTTGTTGTTGTTACTATTATTCCTATTATTCCTATTGTTCCTTTTCTGTCCCATTAAACTGTCTTTATCTCAACCCATGAGTTTTACCTGTTTCTTTTCAATTGTCTCTAAGGGGGAGGGAGTGAGTAAATGGCTGTGTGGTTGTTTTAGCTGCCTGTCAGGTTAAACCATGACACTATGTAATGTATTTCCAGCAATGGTTCTTGACTGACTAGAGTTGTATTATAGTCACTGATACATCACCAATATTGCTTTGTTACACATACCAATAGCATCATTTGTACTCTGGACACTATACAAATGTGCTTGTTAATTGTATGTATTCTGCATTTAAGTTCATTCCATCTATTAGCTATTTGTTTGGAACAAACTCTCAAGCGTAATAAGATATAATATGTGAAATCTCATTTATTTGGACAGGAGAGGAAGAACACAGAATGTTAAAATGTGTTCCCATCAAACACTTATGTTACTTTAAATATATCAAAGTAATTTATTTTTTTTAAATAAACAATAGATTAACGAAGAGAATAAAGTAATGAAAATATGCACTATATATATAAAATGAGTCTTAATGGCATCAAGTACACCAGGTGTCCTCAACAATTATGTTCTCCGTAATGTTCAGTTGATTTAAACAGACTATGAAATACAAACAATAGCACAGGAGTGTGCAGTGTAACACAAAGGGCACAGACTCTTTTCAAACAGCTTGGACAAACAAGGTTCTATACTAGCATAAAAAGAAAGCAGCAGCAGCATATTACTCACTAATTCCCATCTGTGGTTGGCATCATGTATTGCCTTCATGCTGACACTTTCTAAGTGTCAAATATTTCTATCTTTCCTTTCCAAAAAAAAGGAATGTCTTCAATTCCAATTAATAATTATGTATTAGGCTACAATAAACCTGTAATTCAACTCTTAATGCAAGTTCTACTTTAATTATTTAATCTCTTTGGACAACTGCTCCTTAGAACATTCTGAAATACATGTCAATCACTGGACTAATGGAAAATGACTATCTGAAAGCACTAAATGATGCTAAAAACATTCATTTGTTCTTACAGTCCATATCTAATACAAATGTAGTTAATCTGTCTGTGAAAATCACAATTTGTATTCTGCTAGCATCAGATCTTTGCCACAGAACAATGCAGCTCTCAAAAGAACATGGAAAAGGGCTCAAATACAATGTACTTTCTGCTGTCAAGACATTGACTAAAAAGCACAGTGATAAAAGTTTAAAGCTAAGCCTGTTTTGCAGGTTAAATTATAATAATCAAAATTGATCACCAATATATCAGTTGCACAAATACATGGGACATGGTTGTGGACTTGGCAGTGTTAGGTTAATGGTTGAACTTGATGATCTTAAAGGTCTTTTCCAAGCTAAATGATTCTATGATTCTATAGCAGTATTTCAGCAAGAGCATCAGGTTCAGTTTTTGGAACACCATAAATTTCTGAAGAAGCTTGCCCATACCTGAGTAAACAGGGGACGTGTGGATCATATTTTATTATTGTATTAGTTTGACAGAACACAGGAAATTCTATGTACCTGAAAGACAGCACTACGGAAGACTGATTTTGGGAAAACTTGAGTGAGTTAATGTGAATGACACAACCCATAGGATGACCTTTAAAGAGTTAGGATTAGTAGGCCTTTTCTAAGAGCCACAGTTTTGGTTCCAACTGAGATCAGGTTCATCATTCTTGTGGACTTTATCAATACGTCACTGTAGGTGATAATTTTCCCCCTCCCCTGTTGATATGTGATTCCTAAACATTTTTTCTTCAAGAAAATAACTGCTGGGGCTCAGGGAGTGGTTCACCTTTAGCACCATTCATGATGTTGTGTTGCTTTCTTAGTCTTTGCTGAATGGGTACATGGACTGGCTACCCTATCAATAATTTCCTGTTTCCACTTTATATAGACCTACGAAAAACCCTTTTGTATTCTGGGAGGCAACACAGTTCAGTTCATCTGACAGTGTGGCACCTATCCATTAACTGTCAGTTCATTTTCCATATACATTATACTTGAGATAAAATTACTCAACTTTTTATGTCACATTAACATTTGAATAGATATTAAAAAACTTCAAAAATCAAAATAACAATATAAAGTTGCATTGCAGTCAAAGTGTGACCACCAACAGATAAACTGTGTTGATAAAGGAAACAGT